GGGGAAAAATTAATAAAGGAGATGCAAACTATTTCAAAAAGATTGAATTGCATTAAATTAAAATATATTCCTAAATAGTATGTGGAACAAATAAAAAAAGAAGGGGAAGTACTATCATCAATTTCACAACATACAATATGGAGTATGTACTATTATAATATAAACTCATTACAATTATAAATGTCTATTTTTTTCGTATTACTAATTACATAACTACATGTCATAATAAACAATGTTGATATAACTTAATTATATAACACTTACATTAAAGAAATAACATGGCATATGAAACTACTTAAATACCTTTTTCAAAAAGTAACAGAGTATCAAGTAGGACAAATGAGAAAAGAAAAATAATAAAGAAAGACTCATGATATAAAATGAAAGAAAACAAAAAAATATATTTTGCACATGAATTTATGGACAAAGTAGCAAATATTAAAATATAAAATATATATTATTATTTTATTTTTATTCATATTTAGATTTAATTGCTAGAATTAGAATATTTGAACACAGTAATAAATTGATTAGAAAAAAATAATAATGTTAACTAATATCAAATTTATTTTGTTATACTATGAATCTTTAAATTACTTACTACATAGTTTAGTCAAAAGGTGCATTTCATTAAAGTAAAATTTAACAATTATTTTCAATGATGTCTTTTATCAAAGAAGTCAATTTTGAAAAAGTAACAAAAACTTATAAATTGAAATATACTGATAAAAACTACTCTATAATAGAACAATAACTAGTCGCGACCCGTGCAATGCACGAGATGATATATTTTTTTGAAATGTTTAACATGTGCAATATTAAATTAATACAGTTTTTATTGGGATCTGTGAAGATCTCGTTATGTACAAGTCGCGAATTCAATAGCAAACGTAGACCTATGCGCAACTGATCTAAAGGTTTGACGTCGAAGTCGCCGGGATGTCGCGGACGGAGCCGGGTCTAGTCGGCGTCGGGCTATTGCGGAGTTGCCGGGCAGATCGCGGTGGTCGCGGGCTTCGCGCGGAGGTCGTCGGGTCCTGCTGGTGCGTCGCGGGCTGGGTTCGGTGGGAACATCTCTCGCGCAGTGGGCTGCGTCGGGCTCGGCTGGGCACGACGCGGCGCGGTGGTGGTCCGGCGGGTCAGCCCCGGGGTTGATGAATATATAGATCACGGGGTCTCTATACCACGAGATCTTCTACTGTATTACTCAAACACCTCTTCGACCCGTACTGGTGGAGCAACGAGAAGAAGATAAAGCTCGAATGAAAATCTAGAGAGAGAGAGAGAGGGGGGCGTGCATGTGTTTCGACACGTTAGGGATTTTTTGATCTCTTCTTCTCTTTTCCATGAGTTTAATGATGCATATATAGAGCTACAGTAGGGATCCTAAAGAGAGCAGGATTAGGGCTTCTTAAGTATTGGACTAACTGTGGGCCAAGCCCATTCTTTCAATTACTTAAATAATATTACGGTCCACTAATTACTTGAATACCTCCCCATGTTTAAGATATAATGTCCATTAATTAATTCAATTAGTGATAATCAATAATTAATTAATATATTATATTGCCAAAGCTAGCGCTTATTCATTGCATTATTATTATGCCGGAATTTAATCCACCTGCAGGGTTTAGCATAACAATCTTTCATGAACTCACTTCTGTGACATCATCAAACTAGCGCACATGGTTACCATAAATATCCTAACAGCTCATCATACATATAGCAATATTACCGAAGACAGTAACTTTATTGACCCAACGAACTGAATCTCACCCAAGTGAATCAAGGTAATAAATATTGCATGTACATGTCCGTTTAATATCTTACGGGTTAAGAGAATGCAGTAATTAACCGAGACTTAAGTTTGTTTACGACGATCAGTATAAAACAAACTGCAACCCTCTGGAATCCTGTTAAATACATAAATGTACTAGTTCAACTAATCAGTCAAGACCGACTGTACCGTTGACACTACAACCGTTCCGATGGTGTGTTCATTTCCTTCTAGGTTGTGAACCAATGATTCTTGTTTCGCAACTAACTGATAAAATGATTTTTTGTTCACCCGCTAATGAATCATTTTATCTAAGTGCAAAACAACAGAACATAGAACTTGTTTAATCGAACATGATTCTCATTCATGAAGGGAAAAAAGTGTAATATCATCCAAAGCTAAGCTTTTAGTATATAACACCAACAATCTCCCACTTATAGTTAAAGCTTTCGCTTTTACAAGTATAGTCCTATCAATCCGTTATTCGAAATGACCTATGTCGATCTCATTGCCATACATCTGACCCTCATTCCTTCCACGTGTTTGACGAAGACCTTCCCCGGCAAACTCTTCATGAAAGGATCAGCTAGATTGACCTCTGATGCAATCTTGGCAACCTCGACGTCTCCTCTTCCTACGATATCTCGTATCAGGTGGTACTTGCGCTCTATATGTTTGCTTGCTCTGTGGCCTCATGGTTTCTTTGAGTTTGCTACTGCTCTACTGTTATCACAGTATACGGTGATAATACATGGCAAACTCGTATTCACTTCTAAGTTCACTAAGAAGTTCCTGAGCCAAACTGCCTCTTTCGCTGCCTCAGAGGCTGCGATGTACTCGGCTTCCATGGTTGAGTCTGCTATCCATTTCTTCTTAGCACTCCTCCATGAAATGGCTCCACCTACCAAGGTAAACACACAACCTGAGGTTGACTTACGCTCTTCCCTGTCTGACTGAAAGTCGAAATTGCTGTAACCCAGCGGTAACAAGCTGTCTGCACGGTAAACTAATATGTACCCTTATTCCTCTTCAGGTACTTGAGCATATGTTTCAAAGCAGACCAATGTTCACATCCCATATTACTTTGATATCTAGCTACCATGCCAACGACGTAGCTAATATCGGGCCTCGTACACATCATAGCATACATAAGACTTCCTACTGCCGAAGCATAATGAACTGTCTTCATGTCTTCTATCTCTTGAGACGTCTTAGGAGGCATCTCCTTGGATAGACTTATTCCATGTATGAAAGGTAACGTACCTTTCATGGAATCCTGCATGTTGAATCTAGCCAAGACAATATCTATGTATGTAGACTGGGATAAGCACAACATTCTCTTTTTATGGTCTCGAATGACCCTAATACCATGAATGTGTCCTGCTTCACCTAAGTTTTTTATATCAAACTGCTTAGACAACCATACATTTACGTCCGATAACTCCTTTTTACTGTTTCCAATAATAAGTATGTCGTCTACGTAAAGCACAAGAAACAACACCACGCTCCCATTGATCTTCTTGTATACACAGTGCTCATTCGGACATTGAGTGAACCCGTAAGACTGAATCACCTCATCGAACCGGATGTTCCAAGATCTTGAAGCTTGCTTCAGTCCATAAATAGACCGATTAAGCTTACACACTAGATGGTCATGTCCCTTAGCAATGAATCCCTCTGGTTGCTACATATAGATGTCCTCCTGAAGGTTTCCATTAAGGCAAGTCGTCTTGACATCCATTTGTCAGACCTCATAATCCATATGGGCGGCTACAACCAAAAGAATCTGAATGGATATAAGCTTAGCTACTGACGAAAAGGTCTCATCAAAATCAATCCTTTCTTTCTAGGTATAACCTTTCGCAACAAGCCTAGCCTTAAAGGTTTCCACCTTTCTACCCGATCCGCTTTTTCTCTTATAGACCCACTTGCATCCAATATGCCGTACCCCATCGGGTGATTCTACAAGATCCTAGACCTGATTGGAGTCCATTGACCCCATCTCAGCTTTCATTGCAACATTTCATGAATCTGCATCTTTATCTTGGAGTGCCAATGCAGCGTCTCGATCGAATATTAGAAGACATCTCGATTATTCATTTTATTATGCATTTTATTGCATTTAAATTTCTATGCTCGACAAATTTTTTCGGGATTAATTAGACGTTAGTGTCTATTTAATTCGATTAGAGAAATATTTTATTTAGACGTTAGTGTCTATTTAAATTATCAAATTATTGGATGTTCATTAGCCATTCGATTTTATTCGATTTAATTATTTAGAGAGAAACCAAATTTATTAGAATTTTCGATTTATCGGTTGCCGTCCGTTTTGAGTTCGCATTTAGCTTCATCGATTTTATTTTTCTCGACTTCTTAGAATTCATCAAGATCAATTTTAGTCGGTTTAATTTTATTCGAATTGTCGCTAGCCGATTGATCAGTTTCAATTTTTCATTCTCGGCCCAATTTGCCAGAGATCTCGGCCCATTTAAAACCCTTAGCCCTAACTCTATGTTTGGTTCAAGTAAGGGAAAGGGAGGGGAGGGATTTTAATGGAAGGGAGGTGAGGGGAGGGGAGGTGAAGGAAAATGATTTTACCTTGTTTGGAGGGATTTTGTAGGAGGTGAGTGGAGGAAAAATGGTAAACCTTGTTTGGTTAGAAAAATAGACGGGAAAGAAAATATTGTGGAAATGATATTTATACCCTTAATGATATAAGAAACAAAAAAATAATATAATTTACATAGTAAGGTCAAAAAAGTAATTTGTTGTTAAAAATTTTCCCTCCCCTCCAAATTCCCCCACTTTTGGAGGAGAGAGTATTTTCCCTTGGAGGAGGGATTTGAAGGGAAAATTGTAACCCCTCCCCCTCCAAAAAATTGAACCAAATAAGAGAAAATTAAACATTTCCCTCACCTCCCTTCCCCTCCCCTCCATTTCCCTCGAACCTAACAGTGCGTAAAACTCGCCCAATAGATCGTCTTCTCCATAAATCTCTCCCCTCTTTCTCCTTCATCGAGACGATCAAATTTTCCCTTAAATCGCTCAAATCTCACATGTACTTTTTGTCGCGGCTACCTTCCTGTCACCGGCAAACCAACAACGGCACAAGAAGACTTCTCGCCACGGTTAACCATGATGCGATGATTAGCAGCGATCGTCGGCCAGAGACCCCGCCGGCCTGAGGAGTTTGCAGCCTCTGTTCGCGTTTGGGCGAACATCACCTCGCCAACGAACTCGAGAGCGGCCGTCCGTTAGCATCATAGTAACCCCACGGTGAGCCCCGTCGCCCTATTCCAAGCCATCCCGTCGATTTCTTTTCCGACCAGCAGCGGCCGGCGACCGCCCATATCGAGCAGCAGCAACTAGCACTCTGTTCGTCGGGCCAGCATCGAGTGATCTGTCGCCGCCGCGAGCCCGTGACCAGCAGCAGGTTCTGGCGATTTGTCCTCAGCCTCGCGATCCTTCCAGCGAGCAGCGGTGGCCATCGCCGTTTAACAGCTCCATGCCTGTTTCTTTTCGAGCAACCCTCGTTTGCCACCGAGAGCACACGAACAGACCCGGACCATCAAACAGTGATCAGTGATTGTTCTTCCCATCACCGAGGGCCCAGCGGCGGTAATTCCTGGAAAGAAATGTTCGCTTCTTGATTTTTTTAAGGCAAACCCATGCTTATTCTTCCGTTTCTTAATCTGACACAGGTTCTACTAAAAGAAAAAGATCAAGACACACTCTCATCCTTTCTGCCGTGATTGCTGCTTGTACGCTTTTCCTTATCATATATTGGCTTTCTAAATGAACATTCTAATTCCTCTTAAAATTAAATGAGGGAAAAGAGGTAATTTAAATGATTTTTGCATGCATGGTTGTTAGAAAATGGAATTTTATTAAAGTTATGGTTCCTAATACATGTGATTTTCATTTTCTCGTCACTTACTCGGCTTACTTCATATGGAGAAGCAATATGCATCCATGGCACTTCACTGCACAGATACAATGTAGTTACTAGATGACACAGATTAAACCTTGTTGTAGGGTGGGTGTCATTGTATTTGGATTCACGGATCCCAGGTTAAGGGAAACTTATTGGCATTAACATTCTCGCATACGTGACAGTGATGAGAAATACAACCTTAAGAGCAAAACAAGTTGTGATTGCTTTGAACTTGGAAATAGTTTGGAATTTGAGCGGGCTGTTTGAAAACCAAATTACTAACTCATGATATCTTTTATATTTGGATTCTTTGTGTTTTTAATTAGAGAAACATGGGTTTTGGTTAAAGAATTTGAGGAGGTGATTTGGAACAGATATTATAAGTACATCCAAAACGATAATGTGGACCGTTGGATCACCTGAAAGGGTTATCATGAATCACACGATACAAGATCCGCATTTTGTGGTCTTATCAAGTCTCATCAAGAGCTGAACTAGAATTTAACCCAAAACTTTTGTGTGTCCCAGTCTTTTTATTCGGCCAGATCTCTTTAACAAAGATAGACTAATTCAGTATGAACATTGATTATAAGTGAATTCTACATTTGTTAGTGATTATGGGTGCAACGACATCCCTTGGCTTTTTCCTATTTGTTATAGAAGGTGTAAAGGTGGTTGCTCAAATGGGCTACGGAAGTGTCTAATAAGCTGATATGTTTTTGAGTTGGTGGCGTACCAAAATATTAGGTTCCATGACTTAAACTTTATGCCAACCCTAACAAAAGAGTTGAGCTTTTTCTCTCCTTTTTATACACATCTAATCTAAACATTAGGTATTCATGTTAGTATTCATATTATACCTTGGTACAATAGCTACTCTAGCTGCATGCTATAACTCGACAAATGCGGGTATAGTTTTATCTATTTTCTCATAATGTTGATTATTTTGTGCGTGGGAATCTGTGTATCTAGAAATACTATCAAGATGGATTATGATTCATCTCATTTTCGTCTCATCAGGTAAATTTGATTTTTAAGTTCCTTATTTAATTTTTATGGTGCCTTTTGAATATCTATAAATTATAGTATGCATGTTTTCATGATGAAAATATCATATTTGAAATGACTACACAAATTCCAATAACATAATATTGCGTAAGTCTACCATATTTTTTAATACTGCCAACCTTTAGGTTGCTACCTTTGTGAAAATATTCTCTCTCTCTCTCTCTCTCTCATCGGAATAAAACATTCCCTCCAACCCAACCGCTACCTCCTCTCTTCAAGAAGTTCTATCCCTCCAACCCAAACCCATACCCCCTCTCTTCAAGTAATTCTAAGATGGAAGCAGAAGAGGACGAGACAAACCCAGAAATCTGCAACAAAAAACGAAGGTAATAAGATCAATTCTATTCATTATTCTTGAAGTTTGCATTGAATTCAATAAACAGATGGAATGTTGTGATTGGACTATCACAATACTTTCGAACAAATGCAGGTTTCTTTCATTCCCTCCCTCCCTCTAAATAGCTTGCTGGCCACCAACTATTTGGTGAACATAATAATTATTTTTCAATTATTCAGTGTCGTTCGATTATTAAGTGTGCTCGTGTATTGCATTGCTTGAGTGCATTTCATTGCGACTATCTCTTTATTGTTTGGTTTAGCTCGGCTAATCTGCCATTAACTTCAATAAGATTATTTAGATGTCCTCGTCCAAATGATCAATTACTTAAATAATTTTCGTTGATGTACTCGTCTACTTGAATTATTCTAAATTTTATTAGTTCGTTTACTAATTGAAAAATCGTTCGTTTTTTAATTCGAGTTCAAACGTCTCTTGAGCCTTGTTATTAGCCGGGTCTTTGTGCATTTTGGACTTAGTAATTTCGGCCCTTATCCTTTACAAAATCGGCCATTTTAAGTAAAATCTGGCCCCGAATGAGCTTATTGAACCGACCCTATGCATGAATTTTTGGCTCCAAAGCCTTGTTCAAATTTCAAAGATTGGTGAGCTCTTTATGGAAATAATTTTCAGTTATCAATTTTCCCACTTGACCGGCCATTAATTGCCCTTTTGATGCCAATTAAATCATCCAATTATGGGATGATTTATCTCATTTGATAGCCTTGATGCCAATTAAATCATCCAATTATGTTTTACGTTTCCGCAAAATATTTATAAAAACCATTATTATTGTGAATGTTTTAGACTGAAACTATTTGAAACTATGTTTGGTAAGGTTTGTTTATGTTTTGATTGGTTGAAAGAAAAGAGTTTTTGAGTAATGCCTGAAGGTTAGTTTTGGAAAATGTTTTCTAAAAGTTTAAATAATTTCTACGAAATCCTTTATTTTCTTCAAATAAATAAGCGAGCGTTACATGGTAGAGGATGATCTGCACTAAGTCAAATTGGTTGGCCACGGGTTCAAATGTATTAAACAGTCCCAAAGCGGCGAAGGTAGTTCATTCGACAATAAGTACGGCCATTCTTGACGGGGCATATATTGAAAACATGAATGTTGTAACGTCACTCAGAATTCCTCTTTCATCCATTGGAATTGGAGGAACAATTCTTTTTAAGAAGAATCTTGTAGCTCTAAAATCATGTCTACAGCTTGATGAAGATCACAACTTTGCTCTAGATTTTAGGCACCTAAACTACAATACAATGCGTGCTTCTTGATTGAACGGGACAAAGAACATGTCATTATGTATTATCCGAAATGTCGTCGGAAGTTGACCACATGTGGAGTAGAATTGATTAAATGTCATATATCTTATGACATGCCAATAAAGAGGTACTTCTATTTCTCGGATCCTTATTACACTTTTTTTCGAGAATTGATAAAATTCATTTATCATCTACCCTCGAGAAAACATGAGAATGAAAGACTTCGCTGTTGAAAATATTGAGATATTTGAAAATTCTAGGAAAGGACTGTTGTACTTATAAAGTAAAATTTTATAATGAAAATGTCTCTGGACAAAAAGGGATATCCACTCTCTTCGGAAAATTATGAAAAGTTCTATACCTCGTGGAGAACAAATCCCAATGTTGGAGAAAATTATTGGTTTGGTTGCTAAGTGAGAGTTGTCTGCTTCATGACAATTTGATAAGATGCCATTTATCACTTCTTTTTCTTACACCTGTGGATGTTACAAAGTTTGTGAAATGCTTTCGAGAAAAGGGGCCTCAGGCTACTTATGCCAAAGCCATTATAAGAAAGTTGTGTCTCAAATCGAGTATAACAAGAATGGACCACGGAGTATAGTAATAAAAATCGAGAAAGGCCGATTTCAAAATGCTTCAACTTTCCCAGGCCGCATCCGTATGATGAAAATAAAGATCTATTTCTAACAAATCAAGCCATTCTTGACTTCTGCAAGAACTTGGATGTCCACTTATTATATTACATGTCATCCAAGTTCCTGCAGAAGTCAAGAATGACTTGATTTGTTAGAAATAGATCTTTATTGTCATTATACGGATGCGGCCTGGGGAAGTTGAAGCATTTTGAAATCGGCCCTTCTTGGTTTTTATTTCTATACTCTGTGCTCCTTCCTTAGTTATAGCCGATCTAAGACACAATTTTTTTATATGGTTTTGGTCTAAGTAGCCTGACAAATGAGGCCTCTTTTCTCGAAGGCATTTCACAAACTTTCTAACATCCACAGGTGTAAGAAGGGATAAATGACATCTTATCAAATTTCCATGAAGCAGACAACATTCACTTAGCAAGAGACCAAGTTTCTCTAACATTGGGAATAGTTCTCCATAAGGTATAAAACTTTTCATAATTTTCCCAAGTGAGTGGATGTCACTTTTTCTTCCAGTGAAAATTATATTATACTTCAGTAAGTACAATAGAGTCCTTTCCAGAATTTTCAAATATCCCAATATTTTCAACATTGAAGACTCTCATTCTCATGTTTCTCGAGTGTAGATGATAAACGAAGTTTATCAATTCTAAAAAAAAGTGCAATACGGATTCGAGACATAAAAATACCTCTTTATTGGCGTGTCCACAAATATATAACATTTAATCAATTCTACTCCACATGTTGTCAACTTCCGAGGGCACTTCGGATAATATATAATGACATGTTTTTCTTCTAGTTCAATCAAGAAGCATGTATTATATTGTAGTTTTGGTGCCTAAAATCTATAGCAAAGTTGTGATCTTCATCAGGTTGTAGACATGATTTTACAACAAGGTTCTTCTTAAAAAGAATTGTTCCTCCAATTCTAGCAGGTGAAAAAGGAATTCTGAGTGACCTTACAGCATTCATGTTTTCAACATATGCCCCATCAAAAATGGTGTGGTGTACTGATTGTCGAAGGAACAACCTTTGCCGTCTTGGGACTGTTTGATATCATTTGAACTCGTGGCCGACCAATTTAGCTCAGTTAAGATCCCCTCTACCATTGAGTCTGAAAAATTGAAAAACTAATTGTCTTTCAATAGTGTTTGATACTTTTTTATATTTATCAGTAACTTGAAGATTGAATAACTATTGCCTTTCCACTAAAACAATGTGGAACACTTGATATTCTGGTTACCCCTTCTCTCAACATTATGAGACCATCATTATATTTTGTTTTCTGCAACATCAATTACTAAATATTTTATTAATATCATCGTGCTTACTCTCAACTGGAAGATGTACTCCCTTCTATTTTTAATAAGTGTCGTTTTGAGAAGTTGCACAATAATTAAAAATATTTTTTTTTGATAATAACCCTCATTAATGAAGATAGAGATGGATGTTTTGAGCAAAGATGAATAGTGAATATTAAAAGACATAGTATAATTATTAGCTAAATGGGGGTAATAATAGAAAAATATGTACAAAAGATCCAAAACGTCAATTGTTTAGTTAATGGTTGATAAAGCTAAACTGACATTTAAAAAAAAAAATAGGAGGTAGTATCTGGTTATTTTGTCCAAGGGCTAGTTTTGACCATCATATGAAGGGTCAAGTTAAGTTGGGCTGCTAGTTCCTTTCTCGCTTCCTTTATTGTTTTGTTTCCTATTTTTAATTAGTTGTTACTCTCCAAACTCTTTATCTGAGCATTAAAAAATATTTGAAGAGCACTTTGCCCAACTTC